GAATACTACATTAAGAATAAAGTACAATCTCGAGAAACTGTCACAATATTCTTCAATGGATTCAATATCAAAATAAGGTTTTATAAAATGATATTTCTATGATCAAACACAGTTCAAAGAATAACATATTATTTCGAAAGATAAACATGAAATTCTTTAAACTGTGTTTTAAAAATAGAAATAAATTTTTTTGGAAAATTATCCATTCTTTTATTTAGATATAACAATAGGAATATTATATCATCTGGAAAGACGAACATAACCTTCTTCAAGATATCCAAAAACAAGAATGAGTTTTATAAAAATTCATCATTTCCAAAATTGAATATAACAAATGGGATATTTTATTGTCTAAAAAGATAATAATAACATCCTATAGGCATATTTAAAATTGGAAATGAAATTTTAAAGTCATCCGCGTTCCCAAAGATTTTTCTCTTATTTTATATAAATAAAATAAGATTTATTTTAGTTTGGGGTTCTCAAATCCCTATAGGGGCAAGCCTCTATAGTTAATTACATCTTAGGAGGGATACTCCTAAGAAAACTTTCGATTAAAATAGTGATCTCATACCCTTTTGACTACAAAGTAGAAGACAAGGAAATAGAAGTAAAGATTTTCCAAGGAGAAAGCTCAATGTTAAACATTTATTAGCAAGTCAAAAGAGGAAAAGTAGGAGTTGCTGGATTCTGAAAAACTCAGAGGCAACCTCAGTATATCCTATGTTGAGCTTTACATTTTAGGAGAGAAATTTTATGTTTGAGTTGACATTTTATTAGAAATTTAGGATTATATTCCCGGAGGGCGAGTACTTAAGATCTAAAAGAATCTGCCTCAGAACCTAAATCTAATTTGGGTAATATAAAATAGTGACCCGAACCTAACTAATGAAATGCTAATCTGGACTTACCCCGGCCTGGATTGGGGAGCCAGCTAACCACCTAGACGCTTTAAAACCATGTGTCTAGTCTCTTTATGAAAGATGAGTAGGGACGTTGTTTAAGTTTTAATGAATTGGGGGGCGACATCTAAGACAGTTCATAATTAGCCCCTCAACTTATGTAGGGTGAGTTATGCCTAAAAATGCAATTAATATTTTAGACTCTTTTTAATTTGTATCTAATGCAATGCGTGCTAATTGACTCAAATGCATAAAATGAATATGAAGCAGTTTTAAAATTAGGCTTAGAAAATAGGTTTTTTCCTAGAGATTGCACAACTTCCCCTTGACAGAACTGCACCCTCATAGGACAAGTGGTCTGCCAAAACCCGCAGGCGGGGAAGTGCCTAACAAGGAAGAGAAAGTAATAATATGCTTATGCTGACTCTCAGTGATCCCGAGCTTACTTCTTAGATCGTTAGAGTTACTATGTGAGCCTAAAATTTTTTATTTTTAATTACAAGTAAAAGAATTTTAAGCGTACCCACGCTCACAGTCACCGGGGGCTACGACCCGGTGGTTTCGCCCGTAGCACCTCTACCCGGTTGGATAGAGGCGACTGACGTCATTAGCTCCTTGTTCTTTTGTTCCCTCGACCGATACCGTTCCTCGTAGTTCATGCCAATAAAGAAAAGAAAACATGGAAATCAAGGATTAGAAAGCACATTTAATAATTAATAATAAAATAATTAAAATTTTCACTGAAAATAAAGACGTACCTTTCTTCTGGCTTGAACACTGGGCTGGTTCTCCAAATAATCTTAGGTGTATCTCATAAATAGCACAAAGAAATATGTAGAAGAAAATTTCATATGAAACATTAGGGAAGATGAAATAACTTCAAATATTAATATTATGATTTAATATAATCTTTCATATAATTTAAATTAACAATGCAAATCTTAATTTAATATAAGTATTGCCTAGCTGTGATAAAGAAATTTATAAAATTTTGATGCTATTCATAATACTATTTATAGAATTTTAATCATTTATCAATCTTATAGTTATTTTGAGTTAATGGGCAATTTTTTTTTAATACAACACCAAAAATCAAATTCAGTTTTATATTTCAACTTAATAAAATGATTTCATTCCACTTTTGGAAACTCACACATATTTTAAAATAGCAATTTTATTTTCATTTATTGATCATTCGTGTATTTTTATTATTGTTATACATAAAATGCATATCTAAACCCTTTTTTTAATCAAAATATGAAGCAAATATTCAAATGTGCATACACCCCTTTTTAATAATTTCATAAACCTTTGCTGTTAAACAAATTATCCCATTTCTTTTATAAATATTACAATTAAACATAGTTGTAGGAAATCAATCATGAACTTGCTGTATATAGATGGTTCAAAACTAAAGAATTTTATATTGATGATCTGACGTCAATTTCAATTACCTCAATTACTTTATGGATAGAAGAAACAAATATATAAACTGACAATATATTTAACCAAGATAAAACTATTATGAAATAAGAATAAAATATATATATATCACTTAGACTTTCGATCAGGAAAATGTAAGAAATGAATTTTAAACTTTTAATCAAATAAATCAAATAAAAAAGACGTACACTTTTTTTTTTTACAAGTTCTGCTCACTAAGGTCGGCAGAAGAAGTAAAGACATAATGATTGCCGAAGGAAGCCCGGACAGAGGAGGATTCAGGCAGGATTTCGAACAGCAGAGAGCGACGACGGGGGATTTTCGGAACTGCATGCAACGGAGATGACAAACGAGCAGTGGATTTTGCACAAATTGCATTAGGGCTGGGTTTGTTTCTGCGAACTGCAGTGAGAGGGAGAGGGTTTTTGCGAACTGGAGGGAAGGAGAGGGACGGGCTGTGCGAACTGGGAGGAGACGAGGTAGTTTTGTTCTCTGTGTGCGAATGAGAGAGTCTCAAGCGGGAGAGGGGTTTCTTGCGGCTTTCTTCCGAATTGAGAGGGAGATGGAGTTGATTCGCGAACTGCAGGGCGTGAACAGAGCTAGGGAAGGGGATTTCGAACTGCTCTCTGCTCTGCTAGAGTTCGTGCATATGAGAGCGTGAGGGAGGGAGTTCGGTTCTTCCAAAATGAGAGAGATCGGTTCTGTTCGGATGAGTTAGAAGGAGAAGATCGTGGGGAGAGAGGGAGCAGTTTTTGGGATTCGGTTCAATCAGCCCTAACCCTATCATTATCTCTCTTGATTTTAAAATCAAAAGTTTGGATTAAAAAAAAAATAATCTAGAGAAGGATCTAAAGGCTGAGATTGAATTTAATTTCTAGAGGATTTTGGATAAATAAATCAAATTTAATAGAATTAATTTTGATTTCAATTGATCGAGTTGATTTGAGTTTAGTGATAGGTTCGAGTCCGTACTACGTCATTAGATGTCCACCTAAGGGAAATCCTGCGGGTGCGACATCTACACTAGGCTACGAAAACCTAGGTACTAGAGTCGATTCCGGGGAAATTGACCTCGAATAATGAGGTCAACACCGCCCTTATTAGGTAAAGTGATGGGTCAAGTAGGGATAATTCTTTATTCAAAAAGCTAAGGGGGGCCTCTAGTAATCCATCATGGAGATCCCATGCCCAAGCATACAAGTCAGGTGAACACTAGGCTTGCTCGAGATCAGCAATAGGCCCCCAGACATAAACGTCTCAAAAATGAAAAGAAGACTTCTTACCTCCACTGTGAACTTGCTATCGCCCAAGCTCCTCTAGTATTGGGTCATGGTTACTTGATGGATCCACTTGAGAACAACTTGGAGTAGTTGAGGTAACTTCTTTGTAAGCAAGACTCACAATCTTGGCACAACACTAACCGTTGCAATCTCTTTAGGATGTTGAACCCACCCAATGTGCCTCTTAGCAAGGGGGCTATCAACTTTTTTCCTTTTCTCACTAAATTGGCTAGACTTATGTCTCTCTACCTCCAAGATTTTACACTTAGGTAGGGGGCCTCTTGGAGTTTGTGGCTATCAACTTCAACATATTTCTGAGAACATGACTTGACTCGACCATTTCTTGTCTAAGCTAGAGGAATTAAGCTAAAGTAAAAGAAATGAGAAAATGTGGCCTTATCAATGCCCCTCATCTCTATATATAGCGAAGGACAATAAGGGGTCACATCAGCATCTTTATGAGAATATTTAACAAATGCGCTCTTCTCGAGGATAATAAAATCCATTTAATTTCTCTTTCCCAGAGCATCTGCCTTCGTATGCTCATTTAGTATCCTCGTCCAAAGCACTCGCCAAAGACATCCTTAGTTATGTCAAAGATAGATGGCTACATGTGCACTATTTTGGCCCAGTCCACATTTCTATACCAGTTGATACTTATCTAGTCATGCAATATTTCTCTATTTTTTTCTTGGTGTAGCTTTTTTTGTGGTCCTCTTTGATCCTATAAATAAGGGGTCATGAGGTATATTTTTAGACTTTATGCCATTTCTATTATTTATAAGTATTATCTGATTCTCTAGCTGCTTTCTATACTTAGTCTTCCTTCTATTCTCTTGCTCTAGCTACTCGGACTTGTTAGTAGGGTCAATTGTTGTTTATGAATAAATTTGGTTTCAATAATAGAAATGTATCACAATTTTCATTGAACTTATTACTTATTAGGGATAATGGTATAAAATTATCTTACATCAAACTAAAACCGGGAACTAGAAATGGTTTCGTGAGGAAAATTTTAGTAGTGTCTTTCTGATTTAGGATTCTATATGTTCTGACAAGTTTCTATTTCTACAAATGATAAGACTTATAGAGTGATGTAACAATATTAATTCATAGATGTGATCGTCCAGTGGAACATTACAACCGCAGGCTTGAATATCTAGTTCAATATTTCTTTATGTTGATTTTTCTGTTAAGATCTATATGAAGTATAGGAACGATAAAAAGTTGACAAAATATCAAATTGATTATTCAGTAAAACGTAATGTCATCATTGCTCGTGATGAGAAAATCAGAAGTTTTTATTACATAGATTACTATTGACATTGTTTCTTATATTAATCTGTTTGGTCATTTTTTAATTTATGGGATCCAGGTATCAGCAGCTGTCGCTATTCCTGGGAGTGTTGCAGCTTCATCGGTTGTGCCTCCTAGAGCTGTTCCACGGCCGATATCCATGCTTGGAATGCAGAGAATGCCACCTGCTAGCATGGCAGCTTTCAACATTGCCTCCCAAGCTGGCATTGGGGGACTGAATCCTGGAGGTATTCCAATTCAACGGGGTGCTGCAGCACAGGGACATCCACAGCAGGTAGTCTTTGGATTCCAGTCTTTTATTTCATGTAAACCTTGCCTACATTCCATTGCATGTTTACTTTTTGGAACAGTTGAGGAGAAAAGATCCTGGAATGGGAATGCAAAATACAGGCTACCCTCAACAGAAGAGACGATTCTAGCAAAATATTCATCAGAAAATGGTAATTTTGTTTCTAAAGCAATGGTGTGTCATAATATCATTTTTCTTTTTCTAGTGCATCTCGATTCAAGTTTGAGTATGAGCTGGTAATGGCAGTCCCAAAGAACTGCTGCCATATTTATAATGAATTATGTTAAAAATGGGAATTTGAGAGGAATAAGAGGGAAAAGCTTACTTTATTATACAATATACTCCCTATTTATGGATCTATACAAGAGGTCTAATGAAGAAATAAATAACTACATAATAATTGCTGAAATAAAATCCTTCTTAAATCAGATGTCTAGTTATGGAAGGTACTAAATGTATTTCTAGATGGCCTCCCACGGATCGATCTTTGTAGTCGTTGGATCTATGAGGGAATTGAGGGCTGAGATTTAACAAATTCAATATAAGGCAAATGCTCGAATCTATTATGATATAAATAAGTGACTACAACGGCTAAGAATTATGATTGCTACCAAATCCTTTATCGATGCCTAGGTAGTGGTGTAGGCTAGTGGATTATCAGAAATGAAATTAGCACAAATTCATCCAAGTGGAAGGTGTATAGCGACATGTTAAAGTCAATCCTGGCAAGTGTTTGGATATATTATGATGTGAATAATGGGAGCCTGCTGGAGTTGCATGGTTTTCTAATCTTTCTATTAGTATCTCTACAACTATGTTGACTTGGACTTACCAAACTGAAATAAGCACGGGGAAGGAGCAGTGGAGATGTTCAGGGCGGGCTTACATGCTTCATTGCAGTGCTATAAGAAGTTAAAAGAGTAAACATGGATGTGTTTTTTTAATAAGAAATATATTAACTTTGAGCTGATTTTTTCTCATTTCGATTCAATAACATGCAAATCTCTTATAGCAGATTTGTGAGATACTTTATAGGAGCATAGCTTGTGAGTTTGAGCAAATTCATGTTCATAGTAAATGTTGAATCTAGTTGCAAATGGTTATCAAGTTTTTCATATCTTCTTAACATGATAATTGTCTTCTACTGCCTAGCAGCATCCATGTAAAATATTGGCAACTCATTATTTTTTACTTAAACAATATTTAGTTCCTCGTTTTTTCTTTTTTTTTTTTTGCTATTTTATCTTGGAATTTTTGGAGGAATGCTTTCCTTGGAAACATGAAGGGATTAAGAGAATTAGTGGCATGATCGCTCGTGAGCTTGTATGTATCTTATGACTATTTTGGTGTTATTGTATGTTTAAACGTTGAAACCAAACATGAAATAGCAATATTATTTTTTTTGTTGAGTTATATGAACATTAAAAAGCATAGCGAAATTTGATTCACTTCTAAATACATGTATGTTTTGTAGATACTAGCGCGGAAGTTTTAACTGTATTGTGTTGATTACATTAGATGCTGGGTATATTGCTGTATTCTGTTGCATTTTCTGTTTTTTGCGTATCTCCTGCTCCCTAGAAATTTGGATTTTGGCATTTCCATGAATGAGTTTTCACTTCAAATGTGAATTTTCTTTGTAGCAGGAGCATTGCACGATCAAGAATGTCATATACCTGGCAACAGTGAGGCATTCAAAAGAGAAAATTGCAGATTCTTGGTCAGAGATTCGACTCCCAAGATGAAGATGAACTGTGGTACATCCCTACAATCTCGCAATTCAATAATCTTATTGATCAATCTAAATTTGTCCGTGGGTGACACCATAACTTTTTTAGTAATAAAAGCTTAGAAAAAAAAAAAGATCTATGATTTTACTACGATTTGAAAGTAAAAATGTGGGGATATGACTTGATGTCCGAGGCCCATCTTCTGCCCCCCTATTAATAGGTTTGGGAAGGCACAGTGCTATGGGGATTGAGTAATATATGTAAAATTATGTAACAAGGTTTAATTAGTGCTTATTATTAAATGAATATCTAGCTTATTTGTACCTTTCAAAATACATAAAGCTCCATAAATTCCAAGTAAACTGACAAATTTAGATGAAGCCTCAAGTGACTTAACTTTCAGCTGTCGAGCAGCTACATGGGTTAGTTTACGTGATGTTAGTGCCGAGTAATAGTTTTATCAAGTATTGAGGAACAGATTCAAATAGCTTTCGGCACTGAGTTCGTCATGCCTTGATTTTGTAAATTGCTAAATGTTAGGTGCTACAAACTAAATTGGCTCACAAATATTAATATATAAAAATTTCCTGCTTGGTTCATTTGTTGTTTGGTGGAATTTATAAAAATTCTTAGAAGAATTTCGTTACAGAAATTATTTTAACATATATGAGCTTCCATACAATGCATTTAAATGGCAACCCGGTTGGACAAAAATACTCTCGAGGAACTCCCTTGGTCATCTATCAGTCCTTACAATGAGGAATTTCCTTTAGACAATGAGGACAACGATGTCCCACTTGATACTGGATGGATCACCAAAATTGTTATAGTTTTATCAATAAGCTGTGCTTAAAATAGCAAAGTGACTGCATTTGTGAGTGATTAGGGGAAGGGGACCTAAATTGTGGGATCCATGATATTTATGTTCATTGTGATATTTTATCTAATGAAATATACTGTTTCATAGATGCAATCTTGCGTGATCATATTGCAAGCTATGCAACTCTTTTCACAGTTACAATTCTCAGTGTATGTACAATATAGTTTTATATTTTGTAATAGAAATGTGTATACATTATTGCTATAACACTACCTTTTTAGGTCCTGCTCATATACTATTTTCTTATGGATTGTATATTTTATTGTTAGTTATACTATAATTCTAAAATCTTATATTTTAGTATCTCATTCTTTTCTTGTATAGAATTTTCAATCTTATAATTTCTGATAAAATAAGCAAAAATATATTTTCATCACAGATTGTTTGAGAAGTTTCTTATGGAGAAGAAATGATAGTTATTTTGACATTATATTAATTGATTGTTTTGTTTGAATCTCGTAAATATAAGGTGTGTGGAGAGGAGTTGATATCATAATCTTCATTTATAGCAAAAGGGATTTTTGTTCATGATTCAAACAAATAGCTTTTAATTGAAAGCAAAAAACTAAATTAATATCGAAGGTCTGCCTTTTATAAAGAAAGAAAAGTAGAAAAACATAGCCTATATCACTGTATGATAAAGTAGTGTGGACCTCCGAAAGAGATTTGTCGTTATAGAGTATAGAGGGTACATGATCACACCACCCTGAGAGATAGAAACAATCGTAGGTTTTCGTGCTCTTTGTAAGTGGGCCAATGGGAGGACATATTAGATCTTACATACGATCAACCATTGAGGATAGCGGCTATTGCCAACGCACCTCGATGGGTGATAATATGCACGACTTGATTAGTGTTACAGGGTTTCCCCCATCCAATATATCACTTTGAGTGGGGTTTACTTGTGGAATTTTGTTTCCCACGGGCGCTAGCCCCCGTAGTTAATTACATTTTAAGCCGGAGCCCGAGAATACTCTCGATTAATGATCTGATATTATTCTTCCTAAAAGAGGATTGGCATAGAGGGTGAAGACTATGAAATCCTACTCAAAAGGAAAGAAATGGCTCGAGTGGCTTAGTCAATATGCACAGTTCACACTAATATCATGAGGGACTAAGGCACCGAGAAGAAAGTGGAGAAAAGGAAACAAATCACTCAAAGCATACAGAGAGAACGAATGGAAGTGGCGTCATCCATGTGATGCGAATAAACAGGATTTATAGTCCCTGATGAAAAGAAACTTATCCACCGATTAGACATATTACGAGACACTCAATGTAGTAGCATTGAATCTTAGATCTAAGGTGGGTTTAGTGTTCTACCCAATACTAACACCCGTTTTCTAACTAATGCAACTAGGCTTATATCCTGCCTAAAAAGGAAAGCCAGCTAACCACCTAAGCGCATAAAATTCATGCTATCTGATCATTATGAAAGATGGGTAGGTAGGTAGCTCAGTTTTTTAGAAGTAAGACCGACGTGTAGAGAAATTCCTAATTGATCTTGGACTTATGTATGGTGGATGCTCCTAGAGCTAATGCAATTAAAATTTTGATTTAGTAATGCAATGCAAGCTAGTTAAGAGGTCTCAAATCAAGTGTGGATGATATTTTTAAAAAAAGCTTATAAATATAATTTTTAGAAAAGATTGGGCTTTCTTAGGTCCAGCACTTCATTCTCATAAGCCAGATTATCCGGACTCTATCCTCAGGCGGGGAAGTGTCTTATAGCAAGGAAGAAAAGAATGCATTAATATGCATGCGACCCTAGACAATTTCGGCTATTTTTTAGGTTGTTAAGATTATATATTATTTAATTCTTAAAATTTTAGAATTTGATTACGAGTAGAAAAGATTTTTATTCCTAAGGAACCTAGCGAAAATAGACCAAGCACATACAAGAAAGAAACCTAAAAAAATAGGTAAGTTCTACTACGCAATCAACGTAAATACATTAATATAAATCACCAGAGTAAAGTAAATAAAGAAAGTCCACGATAAGTGCTGTATAAGTATAACCTAGGGTCTGTAGAAAAGTAATGACTGTTAGGCCCCATCGATAACAATCGGGATTCTAATCCTACTGAATAACGCAAGTCTTAAAAGCCAGTCATTTCATCTTCGATTGGATCGTCCTTCTCTAGATTGTCTCCCTTCAAGTCGTCTCCTTCGAGCTCTGTATGGTTCGTTCTCCAGAAAGGTACTCAAATGAATAAGAAATTCCCTATGAAAGGCCTTTGTTTTTCTCTTTGGGTACCGAGTGTTGGAAATACCTCACTTTTGAAGACTTTCACAACTCAATACTTTACAAATTTACATTGCATTTAAAAATAGAAAATTTAGACTCTCCTACATGGTTATCCTAATAAAACATCTCAAGTAATTGAATATAAAACAACCCAAGCAGTTGATATTTGTGCAGAAAAGTAAACACGCTTGATCACGCTCTTTTGATTTTTAAAAGGGTTATGCAGTCGCTAGAGCATCTGTAGAAAACATTATTGGTTTTAAAATTTTATTTATTTTGCCCCATTTATTTTAGCGACGCATGAGTGTGGCCACTTGCATAAGACTGAATTAGTAGCAAAAGCGCCCCTAGCCCATGTGTGGTTTATTACACAAATGTGGTTATTTTATTGTTGTGCCTTCAATTCTCTGCTTAGTAGCAAAAGCGACCCTAGGCCAGAAGTGGTGCCCTAGCAAACTTATGTGTATGTAGTAGGTTGTGTGGTTTCAGATATGTCCTATGTCGGGTATTTAGTTCAAGTTTATTGAAAGCCAAAAAGAAAATTTTAGTTAAAGTTTAAGTATTAATGAATTGGAGCTCACTTTTAGTTAATTCAATTTGTGGATTCATTTTAATACTTAGGTAATGATTTTTAATGTTTAAATTGCATTAACAAATTTTAGAAGGTTTGGGGTCCTCTTGTGTGATTGGCTAAGGGGTCCAAAAAGGTCATTATTGGAAATATGTTAGGTTTTGGTGTTCTAGCATTTTAATTAAATATTATGCCTTAAAGGGAGTAGTTAGGATTTGAGTTTGTCGGATTTGTAGTTTTCTAGATCAATATATGAATTTTAGAAGTTTTGGGCAATTAATGAATTACGGTTGACCGAAGAGTTAACTTTTTAATTTAGGTTAGTTTCTGAAAACCTAATATTTTTAATAAATATTAGATTTTAATTAAAGTTGAATGCTTTTTAGTTTACCAAATTTGAAATTTTTTAGAATTAGTTATGAATTTTCAAAAATTTAGGAATTAATGAATTATCAAAAATTGTTTAATTAGGGGCATTTTAGGGTTTTTGATCTAAATCAACTCTAAACTGATTGGAATCACCCCCAAAGATCAGAAATGACTTAAATAAGTGTTCCCGAATGTTTAGGAAAAAATTGGAATTTTTAATAATTTAATTTAATCAAAAAGATGAATTTTAATCAAAATTAAATTATGGTTCATATTAAAGTCCAATTAAGGGACTCTAATTATCTTATGTTAAGCATTAAATTATGAAGAGTTTGAGATATTACGGGTAATTTTTTGAGTTAAAATGGATTTATTAAGAATTTTTTGAAATTATAGGGTTTGTTAATTAAGGGATTTGAAGGCTCCTAAAAATTCATAGAAAATTATGGGGGGTTTAGGATGTCACTAAGTTTAAGTTTTTAAGGTTTCATGTCAATCAGAAATATATCCTAGCTCTTAGACTTTTTTTAAGTTCGCTAGACGGGTCATTAATTATTGTCCTTAGGGTGCTGCTATATTAAATAGGTTTAAATTATGTGTTCAAGACTAACCGTTAGGATAACATGCATGGAATGCATAGAGAGAGTAAACACACTAAGTCCTTAGATTTAGAAGGGCATAAGCTAAGTCTGGTGCACCTTACACATGCAATAGATGATGAAAAGATGATTAAGTGTGATTAACGGTGTGATTAGTGAATGATTGGCGCTCAATCATCCACTAATCCACCCCTGGATACTATTCATGAACACAACCTATGTCTAAAGAAGGTTTTGAAATATCTATACTTATTAGTGCACTAATAGTTTCAAAGTAATATAATTCAAAATAATTCAATGTTTATTCTTATGGGAGACCGAGGGGGACTTCAAAATAATTTAAAATAATTTTTAATTTCAAAATATTTATTATATTAATTACATAAATGGTATTTAAATAGTTAGGTAATTAAATAATAGATAAATTACTACAAAAAAGGTTTTAATTTATGATAATAGTTTTAAAATAAAATACTTATTATTTTGAAAGATTCAATGTATTATATGTTAAAATGCGGTTTAAAATGAATTCGTTACGAATTATCCAAGTTTAAAATCATTAAAAGCTATTTTAAAATAGTTTAAAATTATTAATATTTAAAAATAAGTATTAAACTAATTTAAATTATGTATCAAATTTATGGAATTTAAAATAAGTTAATAAAGAAAATAATTTTGATAAATTTTAAAATATAATTATATTTTAATTTAATTAATTAGTAAGTATTTAAGTTATCAAACATAGATATTTAATGATAATATTAATTTTAAGTTAAAGCGGATAAAAATATGATCGATTCGATGTATTATAAGTATTTTTTATTTAAAATAAAATTTTAATGATTTTTTAAAGTTTCTAATCTTAAAAATACATTTAAAATATATTTTAAACTAATTTTTAATTAAAATAATGGTGTCGTTCTACGTGGTGT